GGCATGCGCTCGACTACTCCGCCATGTCCGACGCGCACCATTCAATCTCTATGGGTCGTCGAACTCCCTACGTCTTCGCGATGACCAGGCGTACGCTGTGCACCTCGGCATGGCAAGCCATCCCATCTTGGCCATACAGGCTGCCTTCGGCGCCGGCAAAACAGTTGTCGGAGCCCTCATCGCAGCCCGATTAGCAACCGCCGGTCAGCTCGTCGTCGTCACCGCCACCACCAATGTGGCGATTGCTCAGTTCGCCGAGACCCTCCTGAAGTCTGGACGAGTTTCGCCATCTTAAGATCTTGCGTTTCGTCGCCGACTCGGCGCTCAGAGAGGGGGCACCGACCACTCCGGTCGACCTTCATCACGTGTTGCGGGGCCTTGTGGCCAATTTTTCTGACAAGCTCGATGCAAGGGAGACCGACCTTCTTAGCCAATACACCCGGGGTCGCGCCTTGGTCGAACAGCTCCTCTTCAATCCGGAATCTACAACTTTATCTCTCCGATGAAGAGCGCGAGCGTGTATCCATAGCCGAGATTGTTGAATCGGAAGCTCTGGAGGGATGCGACTGAGGTCATGATGCGCGTGCGATTCCCGCACGTCATCTATATCACGACTGCCTCTCTCCTGAACTCGACACGGCCCGGAGGACTCTTTCCAAACGTCATCTCGGCATGCTGTACTATCATCGGCGACGAAGCGTCGCAAATCCCGGAGCCAGCGTTTGTGGCGCTGCTGTCCGATTCCGAACGCGCAGATATTTCAACATCGCGACGTTAATTGCAAGCTCGCCCTCACATCCGCTGTTTCAAAGAAATCGTCTCAGGCGGCTCGTTTAGAGAGCGAGGGAGTCATGGTACAGTGCTACACGAGCACGACGTGCCTCTTGGGTTCTCCCTTACGACCTTCCAGCGGCGCATCCGCCGCCGTACCTCGATCTACCTAACCGGCTCGTCTATAACGGCACGTTGGTCAGCGGCATCGACGCCAGGCAGCGTCAACTCCTGACACGTCGCGTGACGTTGCCCAACCCTCACATCCCCTTCCTCTTCGTGAACGGTCCACGCCGGTTTCCCGCGTTTCCCCTCCATGTCTCATTCCAACGAAATGGAGGCTTGCTGCTGCGAAGAGCTAATTACGGCACTCCTCGCTAAGGGCATTCTGGGTTCGTCGATAGCGGTCATCACCTTCTACAAGGACCAACAGCGCCGCCTGGAGCAATTCTCCCGTCGCCTCCGCGTACAACTCCACACTGTGGATTCTGTACAGGGCCGCGAAATGGATATCGTCATCATCCTGTCCACTCGCACCACCATCGACGAGGAAACTGGCGAGTTCCTCGACGATATCCGCCGGCTTAACGTCGCTCTCACACGCAGCAAGCACGGCCAGTTCATTCTCGGCCATGCCCAAGCACTGGCCCGCCTACCAACATGACACATCTCCGTTGGTCTCGCGAGAATGGAGTGCTCATCGACGCGTCGTCTCTCCCGGACGTCTTCGCGTAAGGCTCCCCTCCCTTCTTTTCCGTAAGTATTTTTTTCGTTCTATTTTCATTTTTCTTTTCATTTTGGACTAATTCGATTCATTGAGGCCCTATTGTCAATTATTCTTCGGTTACTATTTTGTGGGTGGAATCGAATTTTGTGGCTTTTCGTTTTTTCTCTCTTCACGAGCTTCCCCCCCCCCCCGGGGCACTTACAACGTCCGAGGACGGACGTTTTTGGGTGAATTGGGGAGGTGTAAGCCTCTGGGTTGTCTAGTAGATGGGAACTTAATGTAGCTGAACAGTGAATTTGCTCAGCTTCGTCATTGCCAGGAATTCGCCACTGTCGCGCCTGATATTATAAGATTGCCGTGTGACTCATTACGGGGCTTCTTTCCTGCCACCCGGCCAGCCGCGACGCCAGATGGCCGGGCACCGTCTGGTGGTGCCGTCCGCCCAGCACGCGTCACGAGTTATTCACTGTTCCCCATATTTGGGAGTGTACTAATTAAAGATTGGTGGTATTCGTTGTTAATGCAGTAGAGTGGGGAGGTCTGAGGGATAGAACCTCTTGAGCTATTACGGCATGCAATTCCGATTAATGCCCGCCGCCCCAACAAAGAACAACTGAGCGGCCCTCCGTCAGAGGGCATCTAGCAAGTGGGCGGTCCAACTGGGCGGGCGTTAGAACTAGAACTTTCAGCGGCTGTAGCTCGCTAATCGCTCGCTGCGGAGTTGCGAGAGTGGGACAGTCTCTAGCTTGGGGGTTGGACTACTTGCACAAGGACGGACGACCATGTACTACTTGAGCGCGGGGGCTGTCTTTAATCGAGCTTGGTACGATGGCAGAGCTCGCGGATAGTCATTGTTCGGGAAGACTGTAGAAAAGAATCCCTAGTAAATGTTTTACAAGTTAGACGATCCTCTTAAAGCAGGGACAATGGCAACATCATAAGCATGTGAACTGTGGACCAAGGTGTGGGGTATGGGTAAGAGATAATAGAAGAGGAGAACTTAGGTAGAAAATCCACTCATGCATTCAAAGGACAACCGCCAATCAAAGAATATGGAGGCAAACATGTGAGAGGAGTGGAAGAAAAAAGTATAAATTCCTTCGATTCTGTCAAGTTGAGCCCACTAGGTGAATCAGTAACTGCGCTAAAGTGGCACTCTCGCTAAAAGTCGCTAACATCCAGTAATGTCATCAAATCTATTTTCCTAAGGGCCTTTTTGAAAAGTGACGTGTTCTCTTGTTGAATCACTTAATGGGTAGCTTGTTAAGCCAGACGGACGTACGGTAGAAAAACGAATTTCTGGAAGTGTTATTTTGGTAGCCAAAACGACCGAAAGATCTGGAAACAGAAATGTTATACGAGGGCCTTCTCAAAAACGACGGCTGAAAACGCCAAAAGGTAGAAGGTATAAGACAGGTCTCACCTTTTAGAATTCTGAAAGCGAGCACTAAGTCTGCTAAGGTTCGCCTATAGAGAAGGCTTCTCATGCCAAGTACTTTAAGGCGAGTACTGTAGGATGGCAAGGATCGAGGGTAGCTCGGATCAGGAAACGCGCGAAGATAGACCAGTTTAGTGAATGTCATCTGTACTTTCTCAAGTTTTAATACTACGTTACTACGTTTTTAATACTACGTTTTAATACTAATACACGTGTAGTAATATCATCAATATGGCAATCCCATGTCATTGAGCTTGAAACAGTTACACCGAGATCGCCGTGTTTGAGTTACAATAGATGACGAGGGAATGCTTTGTTAAAGAGAGTTCAGATGATCTTTTTCCCAAAGTGAGAACACAAGTTTTGTTGAAATTGAGCTCAAGGCCCCAATCTCTAGTGAATTCAGACATACGATCCACAACTTCATTCATCCGAGCACTCATGTTTGAAAGTCGCCGGGTTTGGAACATGTGAACGCTTTAATATCATCAGCAAACGCATAAATCTCGATATCTTTATCGAACGCGAGGGCGGCTGGGAGGTCGATTGTATATATTATAAATAAGAGCGGTGAAAGAACTCCTCCTTGGGGAACCCCAGAGGTGCAGTAGTGACTACGTGAGAAGGCCCCTTGAAAATTAACAGTGAATGATCTTCCTAAAGGTAGGACTTCAACCATTTCAAAAGGGAACCTCTGATGCCGACTATCTAGTTTGTCAAGGAGCTTAATATGGACCACTTTATCAAATGCTTTGCTCAAGTCGAAGTATATTATGTCGACATTTTTGGATTCACTCAAAGCAGTAGCCCACTTTGTGCGTGCATTCCAATAGTTGTAGACATGTGGATGAGTTCTTTACGAAGCCGAACTGTTCGCGCGGGATAATATGATATTTATCGAACCATGATAGTAGGCAGGACTTTAGGATTTTTTCCATCACTTTGCAAGGAGATGAGGTTCAGGAGGGGCGACGGATGTGGAATGGATACCCAGATTCTTTATAATAGCGGGGCACTTCTCCTGCAATAAGCGAAATATTAAATATATGGCAGAGAGGAGCTGCGAGTGCACCAGCAAACATTTTGACGTTGTTAGACTGTCTTGTTAAAAAAATAGCAGCGTAAGTCACTGTCGCGACAACAAATCCGTTGCGAGCGCGCACACGGTATTTGCAAATGTCGCGCGCGACGCCATGCTGGCCCTACCGTCACATACCCGCGATTCTTAATAGTTGCGAAGTCATAGAGAATGGTTACTCCGGCCTTCATGACAGGCGCTGTGCGACTGAGCCTGACCCGAGGAAATCACTCCTTCTCCCAGGCTCAGTCCTTAGCAGGGCGCTAAACGGCGCTGGTGTCGAAAAATGAATGCCATATTTGCGAACAGGGCATCGAACCTTGCTATGCAGGTTTGTTCACAGATTTCAGTGAAAAATGGTCTGATGCCAAGTTAGCGCCAAACTGCGCCAGGGCTGAAAATGAATTTCATGTTCGTGGTCGGGCACCGAATGGCCCCACTATGCAAGCCTCTGTACACTTGTTTTGGTGAGAAAAGTGGCGGCGCCAAAAGGGCGCCTATTCGCCGCAAATGGCGCCAGCGTCGAAAATGAATGTTGTTATCGTGATCGGGACATCGAGTTACCCGCACAGGCAATGTTTCAGCTAACCATTTTTCCCAGGTTTTGGGGTGGTAGTTATTGAATAGTACCGAAAAATTATTTTGCGACTGTGAGCGAGGCCAGTCGCGAACGCAACTAATTTATTAGGAAGTGCATCTTTTTTTAGCGCTGATTATGCTCAGAGTATAGATCTGTGTCTCTTTCAAAACTATCGTCCTGCAATGCTAATCCTATCGCAAGTTTCCTGCCATCTTTAATGGTTACTGTATAAGTGTACTGGGCTTTGGTCGCAATTACGTAACGATGCAACGATTGACGTGGTGGCTGGTGATTTCTCCGTCGATAAAATTTTCAGTTGTCTTTATGAGCTGGTGATCGTTATAGGGATCATATGTTTTGTTTATTTATAAGTAAGATGCAGCAAAAAGATTTTTGAAGGTTCAAAATGGGAACTCGTCCTCGTACGTTTTTAGCGCAGCAGTATCAGGGTGGTACGGAAGTATTCTTTCCACGGTATGATCGTTGTAGAAATTTTTCTTTATTTCTATGAATCTGTTACGATCAGCAAATGGATCACTGTTCAGTTCCAATACGAGAGACTTCAGCCGTGCGGCCGCTGCTCCTACATATAGAGGCGCTGTAGAATCGGTACGTCCTTAACTACATAGATTCATGTTTATTTGCATATTTTGCGGTGCATGAAAATTGTACATTCAGAATTTCGGTGCCTTTGGAGCAGAGAGGAAAAGGGACTATTCAAATGGTCGTGAAATGGATCGCACTTCTGACAAGTTTGTTTGCTATAAACGTTGTTTCCTTTTTGCTGGCGGCTGTATTGGTGATCAAGAGATATGAACCAATTTAGGCGTGGCTCGGGTCGTTATGATAGAAATGAAGCAGTCGGACGGAACGATTCAAGAGATGTAAGTTTTCGAACTGCAGCTTGGTTACTGCAATACGTAGTTATGATTATTCAATGCAATTCGAAGGGAGTGCAGGGCGAGACTGAGAAATAGTTCATTTTTATTTCATCTTTGCCCAAATAAATCTATGCACTCTTCAATACCCTCTCTCAGTGAAGACTTAGGGATGAGCTATTTGCTTCGCCATCGATCACGTGACAGCTTGAGCTTTTTGCCCGGTTCTGCTGACGTGACAGCTCAGGTTGAAAGGTAGCATGCCTCGAAACTTGTAAGTTAATATATGGCGACTCCGTGAAAAGGTGCGAAAGGCTCCGTGGTGCGTAAGTCACTTATCATGCGTGAGAAGGTGGAATGTGGGCGCAATTCGGCTCGGTAGGAGCATTTTGCTTGTTCCGCTCGAATCTTTGCCGGCAATAGCAAGCTTCGTTTACACTAGATAAGCGTCTAAGATCTCATCATGAACCAATGAGAGAAACTAGCGCATAAGGAAAATGCCCTCCTTCCCCCCCCCCCCCGCTAGCTGGACTGCGCCGAAATGTGCAAAGTTGCAGGTCGATGGGAGTGTGGCAATAGAAAATCATGCAGGCAAGGGAGCACAGAGAAGAGTAGGAAAAATTAGATGCGATACATAGGACCAAGTGGTCGTACGACAGAGTGGCGAAGTATGGACACAAGCTCATAACCCCGACCCGACGAATTTGCATCTCAGCTTCACACTTTTGAGCGCTCGGCCCTTTTCAACTGCATATTATCGACAATAATGGGATTGGTGATCAAATATGAGAATGTAGGTTGTGTACTTGGCCTGCTTCTGGACCTCACCGGGTTGAAGAATCACATATGCCGATACTTGGAATCAAAACTGCAAGCATGGCCTCACCAAAACACACCGAATTACAGCTTTACCCCAATTGTAGCGAGGGGTTCACGCTCGACTTTTCAATTTACAGGTGGGAAGAGGGGCTATGGAGGCAAACGGACAAGCATCGGATAGCAATGGCAATCGATACAGATATTTGGATGAAGGATGGTGAGGCCGCTGTCATTGCGTTTTAGTTGGAATATGATGTATCCCCATATATAAATCCTAATATTTACATATTTTAGGTACAGTGCGTACAAACCGCAGCCACCAACAAACGCCACCTCGAACTACTTCTCAGACAGTGTTCGTGAACGCGACTATCGTGGTACTGGTAATGGATACGAAACTCAGCCATCCACCAGAGCTGCACCAGATCGCTATCGCTACGGCAAAGGTGCAGAATCTGCTCGTGGAACGGGAATTGATACGGGGCCGTACAGCGTTGTGAATTCTGGTTTGTTTCCATCGTTCCATCGCGGCTCTTCAAGGCTTCCATACTATACAGATGGAGATCAAACGTGGGCAGTGGATCGCGCTATTATTAGTAGAACAATAATTAGTTAACGGCCGTATGTATGACCCTGATGTCACCGACCCCTCTCCGACCAGACGTAGTTATTGTCATTATATTATCAAAATCTCTACTACACCTGTTTTTGAATAGGTAGCATTCTTGAAGGTCTGACACCATTTCAAATCATTCCTACGTTCCCCTGGCTGCCTCACTGTATGTGCTTTGCGGATCTGTTCGTTTGCCGGTAAAGCGTTATCCTGCACTCTCTGATTTAGTAATGGTTTGTTCGCGTCCTCCAGTGCTATTACCATCTAACATTGGAAAAATGGCGAACCCTGTGTAGAAACTGAGCCCGTCACAAAAACAGCCTTTGAGTTTTGGTGGGCGGGGCTACTAATTAGGCGTCAGAACTGCCACTTACGAGGATCACAGTACTTTCATTGCTTACTGTGAAGCCGCGAGAGTGGTAGAGTTTTAGAGAGTGGAGGCCAGACTACTTGTAGAAGGAAGACGCTTACGAATTGGTTGAGCGGGGACTGTGTTTGACATATAACTCTTGAAAATTTTCAATGCTCTTAACTCTTTGGGGACAATGAACTTGTCAAAACATTAGGTATGGTGAAGTTCTCCCCACCCCTCCCCTTTGCACCCTTGAAAAAATGTTAGGAGCAAAAAAGGAAATATTGGTTGCATATATGAGAACGAACGCCCAGATTTTCCAGTGAGATTTTTTTTTAGGCCAGAGGCTTCCTTACCGTCTTACCGCTCTTAAACGGTTTGCCCACAGAAGCATTCTTAGAGGTCGCCATCGTTGCAAACTTGAACTGGTTTATCACGCATATTTTATGCTTGATTGCCTGACCAACCATGGAGCAGTATTCACAATAATATTAGGGTGTCCGGAAAGTTTTGAGAAAATTCGCTCATTTTATTCAACACATATTAACAACAAGAAAAGCGAAAAATCAGTAATCAAGATAGTGGCCCTTCTTAGCCACGACGTCTCTCTACCGATTGGGCAGGGCATCGATACCTTCCTTCCAGAAGGAAGCAGGCCGGGACGCAATCCATTCATCGACCATACGCTTGACATCCTGATGGTTGTTGAACCCGTAGCGTGAGCCTGGAGACTCCTGAAAGCATGGTAGTCACAAGGGCTAAGGTCAGGTGAATACGGAGCATGGGGCAGCCATTCGATTCCTAAATTCTCCAGCTCGTCCCTTGTCGCCTTCGCATGATGTGGCCGGGCGTTGTCCATGTCGATGTGAAATTTGCCCCGGTACTGATGTGAAACTGGAGCTCTGGACACCAGCTCTCGTAGTTGCTCAAAGAATATCGATGATGTTTCAGTAGTACCCTCATGACGAATCTCGTAATAAATACAGCCGGTGGAGCAGAAGAAAAACGAGAGCAAGTCCTTCTTGGCGTGGCATCCTCGCTTTGGAACGGGCTCTGGTTCCTATCCGGGTTTTCGTACGAGATCCACTTTTCATTCTGAGCAGTTATGAAACTCGCTCAAGTCGTCGTTCGTTCTCGATCGAAGAGCTTCTGGCATAGATCGACCCTCACCGCACGTTCCCTTGCGGTAAGAGACCGCGGAATAGTTCCGGGCAGAGCCGCGCGGAAGTCGTCCTCTCTAAGTCCCTCGAAATTTGTGCAGGATTGGTCCTCACAGAAGCCAGAACGATGCCAGTGTTGGAAGAGGGAGGGCGTCCGCATCGAGGTGCTTCATCGAGGCTAAACTCTCCCATTGCGAAGCGGTCGTACCACCTGTAGCAGGTTGCAAGAAAGGGTGCATTGCCACCCATCGACGACAGCGACTCATTCCTCGCTTGAGTGGCGGAGCGGCCGGAACGGTAAAGATGAAGTAGGATGCGTCGACTGTAGTGTCTGTCGCACATTATTCGATTGGTTACAACAAAGGCTAATGACGAAATGAAATATTGATCAGCTGCTGATTTGATCTACAGACAATCCTCTATCTTCCCATGTTTTGATCTACAGATTTGCTCATGGCCTTCGCGCGCTACGCTTTCTTCAAAGTGAGGCAGCGAAATTTTCTCAAAACTTTCCGGACACCCTAATAATTCAGTACTTAGAATTTTTATTCAGAAATAGTTATGGAGACTCGTCAACTGGAAGAAAGAGTGGCTGCTATCCAACGTGAGCTGGAGATGCTCGAGAAGGATGACGTAAGTCGCTGTACACCGTTTTTCAAAAGTAGATGCTAGAATGTGTCCGGAGTCCTGCGGAATTTGTATACGTCATCACTGCCACTTTTTACGAGTTCCTACACCATTCAACCCATCCTTGTCCTCAAATAATCCACACGACTTTATGACGTGCCCAGTGCCTCCACCTAGAATTTCCCCCACCACAATATGTTCTGGACTTCACGGTGACTTTACAAGACGATGCATTCATCCACCGCCAGTTGTTGGCAAAAAACCAGAAATATCCGTGCCCTTGGTTAAGTATTCCCGAATCGTCAGCACCGTTTGCTGCACATACACCATGTTCGACTTGCGTTTCAGTGGTTCTTTCTAATGCCTGCTTTAGGGCAGTCGCAGTTCGGATTATCGAAGCTCCAGAAGTGCATATCATGCGAATTCTTCTGGCCACTTACCATCATTGTTAGACTTCGCTCCTCCTCCGAATGCTGTTGAAAAGGCAAGATTCGAACGTGAAGAAGTGACTCTGAGAATGCGAGAACAGGATCTGAGGCGTCGCGAACAAGAGCTGATATATGCACAGCAGCGAGCAATACCGTGAACGAGCACGTGAGCGACCAGCACCGTCAATTCAATATGGACGCGTGGCACCTCCAAGTCGCCCGAAGAATGCTACATTCCCCAAGCAAAGAAGTTCATTTGGACGACGTCCAGCCACCTCGAAGAGAACCAGCGGAGTATCTTCACGGAAACAGTTACCAGAAAGAAGAAGAACCCTGAGGACTCAAGAAAAGACGAAGAAAGAAGTGAAAGAGAAGGCGAAAAAAGAAGTGAAATTGCCGGCGAAACAGAAGCGTGTGGAGAAACGGGAAGTAAAAGAAGAAAACGATAGCAAGAAGAAGAGGACTTCTGGAGCAGAAGGTTTCTCAGTTAACAACTCTTATTGTTTTATATACAGTTTGTGTTGTTTGCTTTATTTTTTCAAGATAGATAGTTATTTGAATTGGTGTTGTTTGTGTGCATTAACTACTTTTTATAGATTTATATGATTAAATTTTGACAAAGATTTTTCAGCATCGCCAAAAAAGTCTGATCATAATCGTACTACTGATGGTATGATAGAACAGATCCTTGGGAAGTATAGACGTGCCAAAGGCGATTCGCCGAGGTAAAGCAAAGAGAAGCAGCATTCTTATTTCGTGTTTATACGTTTCTTTTCTTTCTGTATTGTTCAAACGAAACTTTTTCACACTTTAGGTGACGACGTTCCGACTTAAGCCTTTACTCTTCAAAAACATACATGAAAGCACGATGTGCCGTTAACCAAACTGTAATTTTGCTTAGGGGAACGGGTTAGTCCAATCTCAGGTTCAGGAATCGCTGCAAATATTATGGAACGGGTACAGGGATAGAAGTCCGTGGGAGGGACTGAACTCTTCATCAGCTGCTCCTTTAGAAATGAACCAGCGAGATTGGTGGTGAGTGGGGTAATCATCCTGTCACAGCTCGTGCTGCAATGATGTCCATGGCCGTTCTTAGGGTTCATTGCTGCATGGGGTGTGACAGGACGAAGTATGCGTGACATGTGTTGACTAGAGGATAGGTGACACTACCATCTTTTCTCCCTCCCACTACTAAACTGCTTCTGGCTGTTTCTTGTAGAAGCAAGCTGCTGGAAAATCCCTCCCATCTACTTCCTTCCTGTACCTATTCCATTATATCCTCACGGATTCGCGAAACGCCTGGGACCAATCTAATCCCCAAGCCCACTTATCAGTTGGTCAATTGCTGACAGCAGTTCGCGTTGTTTTTGAAAGAAAAAGCCAACCGTTGTTGCCACAATGTATGTTTTTATTGACCTGAGGAAGGTATTAAGGTCAAAACGTTGTCACATGAAGAGGAAACGTGTTACATTTGAACAACACAGAAAGATATTAGAGGAACAGCGAAGATTAGAATTCATGTGTCCTTATTAGGTTTATCCTCTTGTTGTTAAGGTCACGTTCTCTCAAACAGCTGCTCGAGTTTTGTGATGTAAGTCTGCTTGGAGATGAGATCCGCGAGAAGGCAGGAACTTTCATTTCGAAGCCAGAAGAGCCTGCTCAAGATGACTATAAAACTCGCAGTAAGATTGAATGCGTTGCCAGTTCTTTGGAGAATCTGTTATTCTTCAAAGATTACTTGTATGTTTTTTAGCTTGTATAAGGACTTACAATCCCACAGTGCTGGGTCCCCTTGATCAATATGTACCGTTGGGTTTGTTTGAAGAAGAGGTAAAGATGGACGTTTCCACCGATAAAAATGCTCCGGATAAGGTGATTCTTCCGTTTGACGTGTAATTGCTAAGATTTTTTGATGACATTGAAGTGTGTCAGCAGGTCCGAGAAGTGGTATCGCGCATATACTAGCTGTTCTTTGCTAGTTCGCTCGGTGCAAGACTTTGGCGTTAAATCGTTAGGCGATGGAAGCAAGTAGATGACGTTCCGACGTTTATTTCATTTCAGTTTTGAGGACCTTTGAATGAATACTCTTTTTTACCAATACTTTTTTATTCATTTGTTTATCATGCACGATAGGTGCGCTACAATGTCAGCGAAACTGGTTGGGTTACAAAATGAGAAAGTCAGTCGGTATAAATAAGAAAAAACACATATACAGAAATGCAAATGCACAGAATTATGAGCCACCACAGAATTAGGATCGGGGTCAATTTTTTTTTGTTGAGGTATGGTCACGAACTTAAAGGTCCGTGGTATAGCTGCAATGATTGGCTCGACCCTGGTGTTATGAAAAGTCGGCTAAACAGGAGTGTTTGTTGATTCGGGATGTCCTGAACCACTCCCACGCTGTCATTAGCGCGAACATATCGGGGGCGGGGGGACGCGGCAGCGCAGCTGCGTCTGCTCTACAAAGTTGTGCCGCGCCGACTCTGGCCGTCTGCACTATGCTGAGCCTAACTAGAGAAAGAAAGAAGAACGAGAAACTACATAGAAACATAAATGGTTCAAGTCTAGGGTTCTGACCCATAAAACAGTGAGCACAGCACGATGGCTGAGGCGAGCGGTTGTCTCCAACGTCATTGGTGAAAGGGCTGACTGGGTGTGGCTTTCTCGCTGCTTTTCCACCAGTGACGCTGGCAACAAGTGCCCGCCTCCTGCAGCTCGGGCTCATTGCCTTTACACGAGAAGATGAATGTCAACGTTGTTCGACAATGTTGATTTTTTTGGTGGGCGTTTTCATACATGCTTGTAGCTCGTTGATTGAATGTTTTCAATTTAATTTAATTCCTTCTTAGGTCCTTGAGGTGCTCCAAGCAACACTTTCGGATGCTCCCAGGTCCCCCGTCGCATGAATTCCACGATAGTGGGATTTCAACGGCAGCTTCCGTTTAGCTGTAACTACTCTTGATCTTCATTCATCGTTTTCGGCGTTTTTAATTCCATTCTTGTCAGGATTACTCATTCAAGGGCATGTTTTCAAGAATCGGTCACCGTCTAGGTCTTATGAACTCATTCCAACATATTTTTGTTTCACTCAGCAGTTACTTCTTTGGAAATGTGGTGCCATTCCCGTACAGCTGAGTACCTCTTTTATAAGATTTGTTCTTGATGGTTCCATTTTTGAACCTCTGAACCAATAGGCGTAGCTTCTAGCATTCCTAGGAGTAGCAGGAAATATTTTTACCATCCACCTATTTTTGTGTAATATTTTGAAAGTAATCTGCAATTTTTGATGTGTTTTGTTTGCTGTTGCAGTGTTTGTCCCATAGAAGAAATATTTACCATCCACCTATTTTTATGTAATATTTTGAAAGTAATCTGCAATTTTTGATGTGTTTTGTTTGCTGTTGCAATGTCTATCCCATAGAACCTTTCTTTACGTATGAGGTGAACTTATGTGTCAGGTCTAGTATTATAATAATGTTTGTGAAGTGTTTTAGTAGTTGTGTCGTACAATAATATTTTCTTAATGTTGTTACACGTCTTTATCCAATAAACAATATGTTGTGTTTCTGTTGCGATTTTATCAAGCTTGTCTACCATGGGTTCTATCCGGATTTATTGAACGGTGTTAAGCGTGCATAATGTGGAGAAGGAGTTTTGTGCTGAAACGAATGTATATTTATTTCCAGTGTCTAGAACTGATGCACAGTGGCGTCGTTTTCTAATCCAATCGAATACGTGTCAAAGATGTCGGAAATCTGGGAAGGTTTGTTCATCGAATATTCGATATTTGTGAAGGTAATTTCCGCGACTCCATATTGCGGGTAGCGACGTTCGTTTAAGCCATTGAGTGGCTCTCTAGGGAAGAAAAATACAAGAATCATAGAGAATACCCCAAGTAGAGAATATCCTGGCGGCCTCATTGTGAGGGTTCTCCTGACCTGCTCATTCTAAGCTAGGGCGACCTCATTGTGAGGGGTCTCCTGACCTGCTCATTCTATGCTAACAAAGATATCCCACCGACTCTGACCCATCGTTTCTTATCGGCGTACAATGCTTATAGCAGTTGATAGTGAAAAAAACTAAAACACTGCGTAAAAACTGAACTGATCACAGAAAATAGCGCTATGGGTTTTGATGGGCGGGACAGCTAAGGGGCGTCAGAACTGCCACATGGGGACTGCAGCGCCTTCGCTATTTACTGTGGAGCCGCGAAAGTGGGACAGTCGTTGAGACTGCGAACCAGACTACTTAGGCTAGCTTGTACAACTTTGAGAAGTACCCTATTTTATATCATATGGGTTGAGGGTTACAGATTTTCAGTTAATGATCTAAGTTATATATTTACTTTTATTCGAGACACTTAACTAGTTGAGAAGCGAATGTAAATTTTCCTTGGTCGCCATTGCTATGCTAAACCATACAGAAATGTATGCAAGACGCACCGCCAACATTATATGCATGAAATATTCAACGATTTCAATACAAAGGAATCCCAATGCACGTTTTTCAAAGCTAGCAGGAGACATCAATGAAACCATAGAGTTCAGAACAGAACTGTGGAGGGATCATCAGATGATGTAAATCGATCAAAAGTATAGGTGTAAAATTATAGTTACTTGATGGAAACTGTTGAAATTGTTCATCAAATAATCACCTCATTTGTTCATCGATAAGTCGATCACAACTACTGATATGTTCATTTTCTTTCAGATATAGATCAGAGCCTTTAACACGATTGTTGAGACAGGATCCATCCTGATTAGAACCGCTTACACCACCGGAGAGCAAAGACTCTCTGAAACAGAGTTATTTAATAGGTTGTTTGCGCGACAGACTAGTAAGTCTCAGGCAGCATTCACACTTAGCGATGACGCGCGTCGACGCGCTGTCAAGCGCATCGATGCGTGTCACCACGACATTGAAAGCTGCCTTTGTAATAGCATCATTGTGATCTGTGGGTACAAAGACCTTATTCAGACCTTTGCAGTTGCTGTTTGCACATTGTCGCGTGCTCTGCGAAACTCCGTACCATAATCCCGTAAAATTTCGCGATGCCTTCGAAGGGTATGCTGAACCGCCGGATTCATCGCCCAACCAGCTGAACTTTGCGCTCCAACAACATCATTCATCTAAATAAGGCTGAACATGATGTCTATAGTTGGCCGAACGATAAGAACCCTAGACGTTCTCTGATTAGAGCCTGATATTTCTCAGAATGCGAGCACCGACCTCCTCCTCCCTCCTCTCTCGCTCGAGGAAACGGTAGTTTCGGTAAGAAAGTGGAGGAATTTCTGAGCCAAGTCCAAAAAAGTTGGTGGTAGTAACTCGCTCACCAACTTTTTCGGACTGGGGAGGGGGGGGGGTGGTCACACCCTAGAAATCAGATTGATAAGATTCATTTCCCTACAGCCGCGTTTATACTTTGCGACTGAGGAGACAGGTACGCTAGGAATCGTTGCCGATCGATATCTACCCACTCCTTTGAAGCGCAATCACCCTGAACATCGGATAGGCGATTCTACTCAATCGCTAGACCAATAACCACACTTTCCTCGTCGAGCAATCTAGCATTGCTGAGCGTTTTGAGTCGCCAAATCTCCTCAGTTGCAAAGTATGAACATTTCCTAACACTTGATTTTAATCAAAACCGTCCTAGACCCTTTACGATACTCCGACTTGCTACCTAGGCATCGCCAGCCACAAGGTCTTCCCTCCATACTGCTGACTACTCGCAATCCACTTTTGACATTAAATAAAAGAGAAATTAAATAACCTCATCATTTACGTGCGTGAGTTTGGTCAACAGTCCTTCTATCTCTTGAGTTAACGTATCAAAGAGTGCTTGTCGTGCGGATATCGACTTCTCATCGCTATCTAGTCGCCCTAAATCACCAAATATAAAAAACTATGATAAAAATAATGTACAGCTCAAAACTGCGCATTACTCATCAAACCTGCATGAGAATTCAATTTGTTCAGTGATACCAACTTCACATCGATACTGTTCTCTGCTGATCGTGCTCGTTTGCGCAGAGCTTGAAAGAAAAATTAAATGAGACGCTCTCACATATATAAACGCCAAAGAACAAAGAAAATGTTGACTGCATC